TCTTTCCCATGCATAATCTTATAAACCTCAATCATGTCACCCCTCAAAGGGAGAATTTGACATGACATCTCAGGCTCACGGTCTGTTGTGTGAAAGGAATTGTTTTCTTAATAGATAGTGGGGATTTTCAGATGAACTGATTATTTATTTATTTATTTATTTATTTTTCCCAAATGTGTACCCTGCCCTCCCAGCCAAGGGCTGCTTGCAAGCGAATGCTGCTTTACATGGTATCATTTCTGTGGGTACACATTAAAAGAAATCTGCCCATTGTAGCGGGAGGTCCCGTGTTCCATTGCCTGTGCACAGTGGAAAGAAATGTACAGCTGGGGACTGGTGTCTCTGCAGTAGTCTGCCCGTGGCAAAAGAAACACAGGAATCCACTTCCCCTGTCAAGTCTTCAAACTCACAAACGTATAATCCATGACGTCCTGCAGGTTCCCTAGACAAGGACAAAGAGCGGTTCGTAACTCGCATGTTAGAGGAGGAGACGGCCCCCTGGCGGCAGGACTGACTCCTGCAAGGGAATTGTGCCTCTAGCTTAAAACAAGTCCTCCTCTCAAAGTAAATGGGTCAGATCTTTGTCAGTGGAATTGAGGCAAACCAGGACCGGCTTAAGCTGGATTGTTATCGTCCTGACTGCTCTCAGTTGTTTGCCCCCCCCTCCTTTCTCAGGAGCTGCGGTGGCTCAAGTGGTTAAGACGCTGAACTGCAGGCTGTGGAAGGTCAGTAGTTCAGCAGTTCAAGACCCGAGTGCCACATGACGGAGTGAGCTCCCGTCTCTAGTTCCAGCTCCTGCCAACCTAGCAGTTCGAAAGCAAGAAATTGCAAGTAGATAAATAGGTACCACTTCGGTGGGAAGGGAACAGCAATCCGTGTGCCTTGGTGTTTAGTCATGCTGGCCACATGACCACGGAAACGTCTTCAGACAGCGCTGGCTCTTCGGCTTTGAAACGGAGATGAGCACCGCAACCCTAGAGTCGGACTCGACTGGCTTTCGAGCAAGGGAACCTTTACCTTTCCTTTCTCACCCCCCATCTTTTATTACTCAGTGCCTTTGTTGCTACTTCAGCAGAGTGTCTGCTTGCAACCTCCTCTGCCCTGTTTCATAAGTGAATAGAGAGGGAGAGGGTGCCAAAGGTTGAGATGGCTAGTTGAGGGAGTCCGTGCACTCCAGGCCCGGCAAGCACTGGCCAACGGTTTGTCCCCTTTCCCTTTCCCTGGAGGAAGTGTTTGCAGGGCAGCCCAGCATCTCTTGAATTTTGATATCCCAGGAAGCTGCTAGTGCCTTCCTGGGTTAGGCTGGCCTCAAGGTTCGCTTTCATCAGGCTGAATTCCAAGTACATTACAGACACTTGCCCCTTTTTCAGCCGTGTTGAGTCTTTAAAACACACAGAAGACAAACAAACCGGGGGGGGGGGAATCCTCCACAACAGATCCTGATGTTGGCTTGCAGTTGATACCAGGAGGTCGTCTCCAGAATCTTCAGTCTTTGGATTGCTCTTTCCATAAAGGGTTAGGGCACACTCGTCCTTTCAGGACACTTGGGTTAATAAAAATGTGCACAAAACAGGGTATCTGTGTTAGCACTTAGCCCTTCTCTCTCACACAGAAGCCTTCCAAAAGCAGGTGACAATTCCGCTTTTGCAGAACAGTCACATGGGGCTCAGTGTAACTTGTCTGAGGACAGCCCCCAGCTTCCTTTCTTAGCGGAGCCCAACGCTCTAGTCTGGAAAAGCGGCCGCCCACAAATAGGCTTAAATTTCCCTCCTCCCAGTGGTGTGGACCTGCTTCGTGTACATTCTGTGGGGAAATCCACATGCAAGGATGAAGTGCTCTAAACTCTGCATTTGTTTTAGCTGCGGTTTTGCTGCTGTTGCTTGTCTCTGATCTCTGTTTTGCATCTGAACCAATTTTAGAACACCCAACGGTTAAGCAGTTCACAGTCGACGCAGCCTCTCGCCACGCCGGTTGTGTCGGTGACGACGCCAAGCTTGCCCCCACAGGGACTGGTCTATTCTGCCATGCCAACGGCGTACAATACTGGTAAGCATCGCACAGCTTTGGCCCTTTCCCCCGCTGTTTGTTTGCAGATGGAGGGAATTCTGAACCTTTTAACACAGTCTTCTCCAACGTGCCAGCATTCTGTGTTTTGGGGGGGGGGGGCGTTCAACGTGAACCTCAGTGGCTGTCTGAAGCGCACTAATAACTGTCTGTTGTCAAGTCACATCTGACTCATGGCAATCAGGGGACTGTGGGGTTTTCAAGGCAAGAGTTGAGCAGAAGTGGTTTGCCATCGCCAGGCACAGCATAGCCACCCCTCGTCTTCCGTGGTGGACTCCCATCCAAGGACCAGCCGTTGGCCTGCGCTGCTTAGCTTCCAAACTGTGATGAGAGACAGGCTAGTCGTGGCTCTCTAAAGCATGGTACATATTTATTTATTTTTTTGATTTATTATTTTCCGCATTTATATCCCGCCCATCCCGTAAACAGGCTCAGGGCAGATTAGAACGGTTTTGTTGTTGTTGTTCAGTCGCACAGTTGAGTCCGACTCTTTGCGACCCCATGGACCAGAACACGCCAGGCCTTCCTGTCTTCCGCCGTCCTCTTAGGTTGACTCAACTTCATGTTCGTTGCATCTATGACACTGTCTAACTATCTCATCCTTTGCCGTCCCCTTCTTCTTTGACCTTCGACCTTTCCCAGCATCAGGGTCTTCTCATCAGGGTCTTTTCCAGTGAGTGCTCCCTTCTCATTTGGTGGCCAAAGTATTTGAGCTTCAGTTTCATTATCTGGCCTTCCAGGGAACAGTCAGGGTTGATTTCTTTTAGGATTGACTGATTTGATCTTCTTGCAGTCCAAGGGACTCTCAAGAGTCTTCTCCAGCACCATAGTTCAAAAGAATCTATTCTTTGGTGCTCGGCCTTCCTTATAGTCCAGCTCTCGCAGCCATACATGACTACTATACAATAAAATTTAAAACACAATTCAAACATATATAAAACATATAAAATCGGTAGTCATGCTTGCCGTAGTGTAGACTTTTGGTAGGGTTCAAGAATCACACAACACACAGAGCTAGGTACAAGCTCTCTGAACAAGCTCAGTTCGTCTCTCTCTCTCTGTCCCAACTGATCTGTCTGAACTGCCTGTCAGCAAGCGCTTTATTAACAGAAGGAAAAGCAGTCTCATTCATGGTACAGCAAAAGTGTTACATTTCCCTAGAAAAACAGAATGTTCTTTTCACAGCAAGCTTGTCTTTGAATGTTGCAAAACTTATTCGCTCTCAGCAATTCATTGTGTTCTACAGTAAAACAACAGACTTATGCAGACTCAGCTAAGAATCTCCCGTTGCCAATCTCCCTATGACTCCCTGTGAAAACAGGAGCCTCTCCCTGTAAGGACAGGAGCCTCTCCGGGTGTGCCTCGCTGAGATTTTCCTGTTCTCAGCAGAGATTTTCCTATCCCCACACCGTAGGAAGGATCCGGCCCATTGATGCAACCAGGTATGGCCGGTTATCAGTCGGTGGGAGATCGCAACCTGGGGGGGCGGGACATATGTGGGCGCCCACTGCTTCAGCCAAAGGTCTGGCAGAACAGCTCTGTCTTGCAGGCCCTGCAAAATTGCATAAGATCCCGCAGGGCCCTGATCTCAATAGGGAGCGTGTTCCACCAGGTGGGGGCCAGGGCGGGAAAAGCCCTGGCCCTGGTCGAGGCTCAGCAGACATCCTTTGGGCCAGGGATCACCAGGAGATGTTGACTCTCAGAGCGTAACGCTCTCCGAGGCGTATACGGGAAGAGGCGGTCCCTTAGGTATGTTGGTCTCAGGCCGTATAAGGCTTTGAAGGTAATTACCAACACCTTGGAGCAGATCCGGTACTCGACCGGCAACCAGTGCAGCTGACAGAGCACATACCGAATGTGGGCCCGCACGGGCATCGGCGTCAGCAGGCGCGCCGCCGCATTTTGTACCAGCTGTAATTTGCAGATCAACTTCAAGGGTAAGCCTGTGTAGAGCAGATCCTCACTCTGTGTAATGTGCTGAGCAGCTCTTCAGTGAGGAAGCTGTATTTTTGCCAGTTCTGGCTGTTATCTGTGTTCCATTTTTTCTCCTATGTTATATTCCTAGATTTTAATTTGAGCAGTGGATTAGCCCCTGAAGTTAATCTCAGGGAGGGTTGCGACCTAGATCAAGGAATCACAATGAAATTGAGAGAGCTAACATTTATTTTTTTTAAGCAACAAATCTGCTTCTTTCGAAACACACACAAGATGTAGGACCTCAGCGATATAGTGGTACGTATGCATTTTTTGAATAATGGGCCACCATACCAATCTGCAGCATATGGCACTCTAGAAAATCTCTCATCAGTGCTGAAGTTAGTATCAGACTTCGTGGTCGTGGTGGTTCCCTACCCCTAACCTCCCACTTCACTGAGCAATTCCTAAAGCTTTCCTCCAACTCAAGTGTCTCTTCCATTAGTTGTTGCAGATTTTCCCAGGCTGTATGGCCATGGTCTTGGCATTGTAGGACCTGACGTTTCGCCAGCAGCTGTGACTGGCATCCTCAGAGGTATAACACAGAAAGATGGAGGACTCTCTGTGTCAAGGTGAGAAGAAGAAAAATGGTAGGCAGGTAATTTATATCTACTCAAGAAGGTGGAGTAGGGCTGAGTCCTGCGAGATAATGAGGATGCCAGCCACAGCTGCTGGTGAAATGTCAGGTCCTACAATGCCAAGACCACGGCCATACAGCCCGGAAAATCTGCAACAACCAATGGAAGAGACACTTGAGTTGGAGGAAGGCTTTAGGAATTGCTCAGTGAAGTGGGAGGTTAGGGGTAGAAGAAAAATGGTAGGCAGGTAATTTATATCTACTCAGGAAGGTGGGGTAGGGCCGAGTCCTACGAGATAATGAGGATGCCAGCCAGAGCTGCTGGCGAAACGTCAGGTCCTACAATGCCAAGACCACGGCCATACAGCCCGGAAAATCTGCAACAACCAATGGAAGAGACACTTGAGTTGGAGGAAGGTAGAAGAAAAATGGTAGGCAGGCAATTTATATCTACTCAGGAAGGTGGGGTAGGGCTGAGTCCTACGAGATAATGAGGATGCCAGCCACAGCTGCTGGCGAAACGTCAGGTCCTACAATGGCAAGACCACGGCCATACAGCCCGGAAAATCTACAACAACTAATGAACTCCGGCCGTGAAAGCCTTCGACGACATACTGGCTCTTCCATTGTTGGTAGAGCTGTTTCAGTTGGAGGATGTCTGGACCCATTCCACTGTGCTGGCGTAGGGTTTGGTACCTATTTGCTGGCACAGTGGATTATTTATTTACTGAATTTCTACCCCCCCCCCCCAGCAAGGCCAGCTCAGGGCGGCTTACATAAAATCAGCATCGAGTTTACAATAAAACATAAAATATAGATGATGTTGTTGTTCAGTCGCAGTCGAGTCCGACTCTTCGCGACCCCATGGACCAGATAGACTAAGCAGCAACAATTTAAAACAATTCTAAAACCATTTAAACCACAGGACAATAATAAAGTGCTAGCGTCAGTGAGTTCACCGTGGTTGCGCTTTCTCACTTCTCGCAGTCGGCCCCTCGATCGTTGTATTAGGCGGCTAGACTCAGGCTGCAGTTAAAAATCCCAGGGGAAACGGGGGAATGATAGGAATGGATAAAGATAGTACTTTAAGAGGTTGAAGTGATCCCCTGTATGCTTTGACTAAGCCCCCGATTGCTGCTACTACAAAAATATCATTGATACCAGATACCTTGGGTTTGTAGACAGTTTTGGCTAGGATTGGCATTCAAATTTAAGTGGAGGGGTTTTTTCCCTACCCGGATATGTATATTGTAGCTCTCACCAGATTACTTTTTTTAAAATCCCTTTTGTTCCCCAGTGGCTAGGTCATAAACTAAGAGAGCTATCGCACAGAGTGATTAAGTGCAGAAAAACATTTGCAGCTCTCTCTCCTTCCAGCCCCCAAAGGAAAACACACACACACACACACACACACACACACATACACACAAGTGTTAATGATGGACTGAAATGGACTGAAATAACTTCCTATGTGTGACTCAGTGGCGATAACTATCTAAGCACCGTATTCTGTATTTAAAAACCTAATAATCCAGTCAGGGTATTAAAAAACATCCTCCTCCCACAAAAGCATGGCGAAACAAATTTTGTTGTGCGCTAGTGTGCGTTTAAACTTTTAAGAAGGATGCCTTGAGTTTAAACCTTCACAGGCCCCGGTCACACGGAGCATTAGGCACGCTAGAGAAACGGAAGATAGGTGGATTTTCCGGGTGCAATCTCACCGCCACATCTGGGAAGCGTAGAGCTCCCGTGGCTCACCCGAGGCTTCACTCTGAAGATGCGCTGTAAAAAACTAGTACCTCCGAGGTACTAGTTTCCAGAAACCGCGGGGCAAGGGCGGGCGTCAGATCATGTTTCCGGTGGTAGGTCGTGGCATCTGGCACCCACCCATGTCCCGTCGCGAAAAGTTTTTTTTTTTGGTCAAGTCTCCACGGGTGCGCACAAGCACCCAATGGCGCATGCGAACACTTGGGTTTAAAAAAACAACCGCGCCGCAGGAGTGAGGTATGATCGGCACTTCCCCCCAACCACGGGACGTCAGTGGGACATTGGGCGGGACGTTTGATCCAGCTGCCGCGCGGTAGTTCGCTCCGGGGCAAACAGCCACCCCCCCCCCAATATCCAGCCCGTGTGACTGGGGCCACAGTGTGTCAAATGAAAGGTGGTTTTAAAAGGATGGGGGGGGGAACAGACACGAAGCCACTTGGTCCTGTTTCTTGTGCTGGTCATAAGGACCAACGTCCTACAAGTGTCCTCCAACTTGATCTTTCTCTCAGGGAGTGCATCTGCAGTTCCCTTGGTATATTTGAATTGCCACATGTCCCTGTACCTTCATGTCCCCGTGAGTCAATCTACATCATCTCCAACTTGCAAGAACATAAGAACGTAAGAGATGCCAATGTTGGATCAGGCCAAAGGCCCATCCAGTCCAACCCTCCGTGTTACACAGTGGCCAGAAATACCAGGTGCCATCAGGAGGTCCACCAGTGGGGCCAGGACATTAGAAGCCCTCCCACTGTTGACACCCCCCCCCAAGCACCAAGAAGACAGAGTATCACTTGCCCCAGAACCCCTATCTATACCTTGTGGCCAATAGCCACTGATGGACCTCTGCTCCATATGCTTATCTAATTCCCTTTTGAAGCCGTCCATGCTTGTAGCCGCCACCACCTCCTGTGGCAGTGAATTCCAAGTGTTAATCACTCTTTGGGTGAAGAAGTACTTCCTTTTATCCGTTCTAACCCGACCGCTCAGCAATTTCATGGAGTGCACACGAGTTCTTGTATTGTGAGAAAGGGAGAAAAGTACCTCTTTCTCTCCCTGCTCTTTCCCATGCATAATCTTGTAAACCTCAATCATGTCACCCCTCAGTTGTCGTTTCTCCAAGTTAAAGAGCCCCAAGCGCTTTAACCTTTCCTCATAGGGAAAGTGTTCCAACCGTTTTATCCTTCGAGTTGCCCTTTTCTGCAAGTGCGGCCAACGTTTCTGCCGCTGTTCCGGTTTTCATCCTAGAAAGCCTCTGTCCAATGCGCTTCCTTGAGCAAAAAAATGGGTGGCAGAATTAATTGTGACGCCACTGGTTGAAATCAGGGTGGCAGTATGCCTTAGAAACCAAGAACAAGTCATCAAAATCCACACATTGTTAAAGAAAATGATCCCTGTATGATCATCACTCGTGGCCAGTCTCATCACTTCTGGGGGGTGGAGAGGAGCGTCACAGGCGCTTGTACCCCATTCAGAAGACTTAAAGGCACTTTTGGTAGAGGAGGTGGTGGTTTCTGCCATCCCACCCCGACTGTGGACCCCCACGTTTGCCAGTTTGGTGTCGTGGTTAAGCGCGCGGACTCTGGGAGAACCGGGTTTGATTCCCCACTCCTCCACTTGCACCTGGCTGGGTGACCTCGGGCAAGCCATAGTTCTGTCAGAGCTGTCCTCTCAAGGACAGTTCTGGAAAGAGCTCTCTCAGCCCCACCCACCTCACAGGGTGTCTGTTGTGGGGAGGGGAAGGGAAAGGAGATCGTAGGCCACTCTGAGACGCAGAGTGAAGGGCGGGGTATAAATCCAGTCTCCTCCTCCTCTTCGTCTCCTTCTTCCTGTGCTGTTCTTGAGGTCCCTTGAGCCCCAAGAGCAACGTTTCAGGGGACTTGGGGCTTTGACAGTTGGGGAAGGAAGGAAAGTCCCCGCTCTGTGAGCAGATGTTGTCGGATACCAGCTGCTATGTTTGGGACAGCTCGCCAGCCATTCCAGGTTAGATTCTTTCAGGTCAGCTGTTGCCACTTCTCCCTTCGTTAAATGGAATTTGCCGCTCCAGATCCGTCTGCTCTGATCACATCCCTGATTTGTTTTGCTTCCAGTGAACTAGCAGAGTTTTGTTCTTTAGACTGAACGACCCGGCTTCTGAAAAGCAGGAAGCTGAAGGTTCTGAGTTTCAGTCAAGTATGTGTATCTCATCCATTCTGTCTAAAGTAGATTGTCCAGGCCTATACGAGAACAACAGACTTCTGAAGCTTGATGGCCTTAGCCATGAGGATGAATTTTATTGTCCATTTGCTTAAAACATTCTTGTGCTGCCTCGCCACCCAGCTTTGGGTGCTCAGTGCGCCGAAAAACGGAAAACATTTTGAAATACACAGTGTAAAAACAATTAGAAAACGACAATTTAACAAAATAACAAAATGTGTTAAAGTTAAATTCAGGGCTCTTTTTGTAGCAGGTACTCATTTGCATATTAAGCGACACACCCCTAATGTAGCCAATCCTCCAAGAGCTTACAGTAGCCCCTGTAAGAAGTGCTCTGTAAGCTCTTGTTGACTAATACACAAAGGAGTCCCTGCTACAAAAAGAGCCACTAGATAGGTCAGTGCAGGGCTTTTTTCTCCTGGGGGAACATGCCAGAACAGAGTTCCACAACCTCTTCAACAATTTTTTTTTAAAAAGAAAACGTTTAGAAGTTCATGAGTCTTTAGTATACAGACTGGAAAACTTCACTTCCCTCTTGAGAGTTCCGGCACCCCTTTTCCCCAGACAAAAATCCTGGGTCAGTGGGGGGATCCCCGATGAAGCAGGTAAGTCTTTACCTACCGGCAGACAACAGCGGCAGGGGGGACAGGCAGATCTCCCTGTGGAGGGGATCCCATGATTTTGGCGTCATGACTGAGTAGAGGCCCTTTCTCAGTTCGCCACTCTAAGGTTGGGCTTTTGAACCGACCTGTTGGTAAGTTGCCGTACAGCCCCCTTGTATAAGATCGTTAAAAGAGATCATTGCAGGACTGTATATCTTGAGAAACTAACTACTCTGGAGCTGAGAAGGGCTTTTACCGCCCTAAGGTTCCACGTCATACCCTCAATGGTTTGTATTGGCCGCTTTCGGGGTGCCCCTGCCGCCTCCAGAATATGCCTCTGTGGTATGGGTGAAGTGGATGATGTCAAGCATTACATTCTGAGATGTCCATGGCACGAATCACTTAGGCAAAGGTTTATTTATCCTATTGTACCTCTGTATAATGGAATTTCAGAGCAGGATTTGACCGTTTTCTTGCTCTCTGATATTGATGCACATGTTACTAGCAGAATGGCTTTGTTTGCACTGGCGGCGAAAAAGATAAGACTGGGTCTAGGACTTACTGTAAGTTACTGATGTATACTGTTGGTTGTGCTTTGATTTATTTTGTGTTGTTATGGCCAATGGCTAAGACAATAAACTAAACTTGGTAGCTGATCTCAGTTTGCCACTCGTCCAGCCTCAAAAGGCGGCGGCCCCCCAAAGAAGGCCCCCCGAAGGTTCCAATCGGAGGCACGTAAGAAACCCAAACTTGGCCTTGAGGTGAGAACCCCGCGGATGATTTTCGCAAAGGGCATCAGGACCACCTGGGTGGATTCCCAGTTTCCCACTGAGTGCCTGACCTCAGGCCGGTGCTGGCAGTGATTAGCCGCTGGGTCTTCTGTTGGAATGGAAATTGTATAACCTTGTGACGAACGTAGCATTAAACTTAACTTCTCTGTCTCCCTCCTCTCTCTCTCCCCCCCCTTTCTTTTTCCAGATTACTCCTTGACTAGTGCAGACCTGTCAGCCCTGCAGGGATTTAACTCCCCAGGAATGCTGTCATTAGGACAAGTATCTGCCTGGCAACAGCATCATCTAGGACAGGCAGCCCTCAGCTCTCTTGTGTAAGTAGGCATGCAGAAAGAAAAAGAAAATAACTCTTGGAGGATCAGCACTCTACGCCAAGTTACACCCAGCTGGGCATCCCCACTTAGCTAACGGGCTGTGTTCGGGCTTGATCCTGCTCGGTTGGGCAGAGTGTTCTTTTGAGCTTTCAGTGGATTGATGGCTGTGGGCGGCTTCCTCACTGAAGTGCTGCATTTATTACTTTTAAGGAGTTCTTGCTGGGGGTGGGGGGGGAGAACTTTGTAGGGAAGTGTCGTGCTCTTGTATAGCCACTCCTTGTCCATCTGAAGAAGGGGATTGGATTTATACCCCTCCCCACAGGGGAGCGCACCAGTCCTTAGGGGCGCCAAAATGCACCCGCCCCCCACTCCGCCAAAAGCCCTCCCCGCCTGGTTGCTTTCAGCTGTTGCATCTCGGCGTGGCGTGGGGAGCCCGTGGCGCGCTCGGGGCGGCCGGGGGGGGGGAGTCGGGCACCCCACTGAGGGGTGGCTGGAGGGGGCGGGCAAGAGAGGATGGAGCGCGGCACAGCCGGAGAGTCCAGCAGCCGCACCCGAGAGACGCGCAGAATCCGTGGCCAGGGAGGAGGAGGTGCTTTCCTGAGATGCAGCTCCCTTTTTCAGTTACTGCTTGATAACGGCTCCCCATCGAAAAGCACACGACGGCCGCATTTCTCTCTTCCAGGGGGACTGAAAGGCTTATCCCCCCCCGCACTCGTTGGCCGTGACTTACTTGCGATGAGTAAACCTTCCAAGGATCTGGCTAGAAGAGCTTTCCCCCCCTCCTGTTGCAGATCAGAAGCCCCTCCCTGTCTCTTTGGCCCTGATGCAAGAGCAAAGCCTCCCCCCCGTCCAACCCCGGAAGAAACCCCCCCCCCCCCCGTCCTTGCTAGGCCTCCCCAGCAACGCAGCTCGCTCACTTCAACCTTTTCCATGCTGGAGATAACACCCCCCTCCCCCGCAAGGCTGCCCCGTGGAGATTTTACTCGTGAGCAGCCCCGTCCAGCTGCATTAGAAGGTGGTGTTGCTGTCTCGGGCCCGCCTGGCTGAATTCCTGCCGCGGCGCCTCGTGGGGAGGGCAGCAGGAGGAGGAAGCCTTTCAGCTTCCTCTGCAGCACGGAAAGGGTTAAAGGCGGGCGAGCGAAGCGGGGTGGGGAGCCAAAAGTTCTCTGCGGGGGCGGCTTGGCTCTTGCCTCACGACCGGAGGGACCCGGGAGGAACCTTAGAGTTGCACCAGAGGGGGGGAAGCCTGGCAGCCAGACCCCGGGCAGGTTTACTCGTGAGTAAGTAGTGGGTGGGGTGGGTGCTTTTCAGTCCTGGGGAAGAGAGAGGGAGAAGGGCTGGGCTGCCATTGCATGCTTTTTTGAGCACCTCCACGCGGGAAAGGTGGATCCAAAACGGCCTTCAGAATCCCGCCCCCAACTCAAGGCAAAGGCGGCGCCCCAAAGTGCTGCTGCTGACCTCTCTTTTTAAGTCTTCCATATCTCCAGGCCCTGCCTGGAGGTTGGCAACCCCATAATTGGGAACTGCAGGCTGTGGAAGGCCGGTAGTTCAGCAGTTCGAGACCCGGGTGCCGCATGACGGAGTGAGCTCCCATCTCTAGTTCCAGCTCCTGCCAACCTAGCAGTTCGAAAGCAAGACATTGCAAGTAGATAAATAGGGACAACTTCGGTGGGAAGGTAACAGCGTTCCGTGCGCCTTCGTGTTTAGTCATGCCGGCCACATGACCACGGAAACGTCTTCGGACAGCGCTGGCTCTTCGGCTTTGAAACGGAGATGAGCACCGCAACCCTAGAGTCGGACTCGACTGGCTTTCGAGCAAGGGAACCTTTACCTTTTTAAAGTGCCGTCAGGCCACAGCCAACTTACGGTGACCATGTGCCGTTTTGAAGGCGAGAGACGGACAGAGGTGGTTTGCCGTTGCCTGCCTCTGTGTAGCGACCCCGCAACAATAGTGACACTGTTAGGTCAGCAGGGTATCCTAGGTTAGCTCGTAATACCAACCAGTCACGGGGTTGCAGGTGTGTAGCAGTTGTAGTCAGAGGTCATTTCGGGGGGGATCGCGGGGGAACGCAGTTCCCCCGGGTGAGGAAGCCCCGCCCCCTGCTTCCGGCCGCCCCGCTTTTGGCCCTCATTCAGCCAGGAGGAGGCAGGAGAAGAGGGAGGGTAAGTTGCTTCCTCCCCGCCTCTCCCCACCTCTGACTGCCTGGGGCCAGGGAGGGCCTTGGCGGGGCTTCCTCGCACTCCCACCGGCCTTGCAGGTCCACCGCCGGGCCCCTGATGTCAGGGGGTGTGGCATATGCTAATGAGTTATGCTAATGAGTTCTACGAAACGACCCCTGGTTGTAGTCTTTTTTCAGGCAAGCAGGGTGTGTTTGGTTGTGTGCGTGTCGTGGTGTTTGCTCTCAGTCTCATCCACCTTTTGTCTTTCTCTGGCTTCCCATTCTCTGATCACCTTCTTAGACTTTAGATCCCAGTTTCCTTGATTGTCGGGCTGAAGGGTTCTCACGCTACAGCCACGATGAGCGACTCGTTAACTGTTCTTTCTCCCTTCCTTTCCCCCATCTTGAATCTCCCTAGGGCTGGAGGCCAGTTATCTCAGGGTTCCAGTTTATCCATTAACACCAACCAAAACATCAACATCAAGTCCGAACCAATTTCTCCTCCTAGAGACCGCATGACCCCGTCCACGTTCCCGCAGCAGCCACAGCAGGCGCAGCAGCAACAGCAACAGGCGCGGCAGGAGATGGGCCGCTCTCCCATTGACAGTCTCAGTAGCTCCAGCAGTTCGTACGACGGCAGCGATCGGGAGGACCCAAGGAGTGACTTCCATTCCCCCGTTGGCCTGGGAAGACCCCCAAATTCAGAAGACAGGGAGAGCCCGACAGTAAAGCGCATGCGAATGGACGCCTGGGTGACATAAGCTGCCCTGTTCCCCTCTGTTTCTACCTTTGAGTTCTACGAACAGTCCTGACATATCTAAATTAATAAACAAGGACGGGAAAGGAATATTTATATGTATATACATACATGCATATATATCTTTGTATACATATATATATGTGTGAGTGTGTGTAGCAAGACACAAAAATCAGCAGGCACTTAATAACAAACTCCTTGTGTAGCTGCAGATGCCCTGTGGTTCAACAAGAAAAAGATATATATAGATATATATATACACACACACACATATATAAATATAAGACAGAAGAATCCTCATAGGTATTGGTCTAGTCTGGCTGTCACCGGGGACTCATTCCTTGAGAATAATGTAACCTGTTTTGCAAAAGAAACGTCATACCCCGTATATAATCCTACCAAATTAGAGGGCGGAACCGCGAAGGCTCGCCTGTCGTAGTTGTTCCTGTGTGTGTTTTCAAACGCCGTCTGGTTCCCTGTAGTCCGCTTTGTAGCAGCAGAGCAGTACGAAAAGAAAGCAATACTGTACATAGAACGACCTTTATATTACCCAATCTAGCATGGGTCTCTCTTGCAGAGAGTGCATGGAGAAGGGCTGGCATTAGTTTAAAAAAAACCCAATCAAAAACCTGATTTTTGCACATGCAAAAAAAAATACTGAGGTCAAAAGTGATTTAAAGAAAAGAAACGCAAATGAAGAAGGACATAAAGAGCTCGCATGAAATATTCAGAAAATATTAGCCTAGGAGATAAACCATAAAATAAAATTTTAATATATTAAGTTATAATTGGGATTTGTCGAAAAAGTTTCCTTTTTTATGTTCCTCCTGCCTTTTTTTTTTTAAAAAGTATAAAACCAGTTTTAGCTCGTGTCTATTTTTTATTAAAGAAAACCATACCCTCCTTGAAGACTATATAGAAAATTATATACCTTACTTTTTGAACACATTCTGCTATGAATTATTTATATAAGCCAAAGCTGTATGGGGCGGGGGGGGTAGCTTTTTTGTAGAGTATAGTTCTAATTTTTTGGGTTTTTTTACTCCTTCGTTTGTTTTCAGGAGAGGAAGGAAAAAAACTTGCAGGCAGAACCTTGGGGAAAAATAAGCCATGAATACTTATTATTCTATATGTAAATTAAAAGTTGAGCCAAACTTTGTGTATATAGCATCTTAAATATATTATCACCTTTTGGTGTAAGTTACCTATCTATGTATTGTACGTTCACCAGATTTAAAAAAGTATATTTTTGTGGATTGACGCCAACTTGAAAAAAAAACAAACACAGAAAAGGCGAGGTCCTTATTAAGTAGAGTATTCACTGTTTAATATTTACTATTTTGTTCAATATACTGTACTTCCTTTGGATTTTAAGTAATATTACTTGGATTCTTTGCAGAGGGGTTTTTTAAAAAGGGGTTGTCCCCCCCTTCCCCTCCCTGGTGGTGAATGTGTGCTGTTGAACTGTACTCTTTTTTGTGCTGTATGGTAAAACTTCATTATACATTTTATAAATATATATACATATATGTGTATATATACATATATAAATATATGTATATAGATAGCAAAGTGACACTCTTCCCCATCTTGACACACACGCAAATCTGGTGTCGAGTTCCATCCTGCAGAAATAGAAAAAGTCATTGTAATATAATCTCTCAAGGCATTATATTATATTATATTAAAAACTGCCTATTGTTGGGAGGGGGTGGGGGAGGAAGCGATTCCTATTGCTTGCGTTGGAAAATATGCATCAGAGAAGCAAAAAAGGAGGTTTTTTTGAAGTGGTGTGTGGGTTTTGCTGCAAATCATAATTTGAAGAAACGTTTCGATTCTCATTTCTGCAGAGAGATTATCTGCCCTCCCCCCTGGTGGGATAGGCCTAATCCTGCAACCCCCTACTCTTACTAGGTATTATTTGGACACTATACCTGTGGGAGCCACACAACAGGGGACTCTGTAAGCGTGTATCCACATACAATTTTAAGATGTATTTGTCTAATAAGTCGATTTTTTAAAACAGTTTTTAGTACATATAAACCGGGGCACGTTCTAATGTAATACTCTCTGAAGGAGCCCCGACACCTCCATCTCATGCTGGAGTGATAGAAGACAACAGGTTAATTGATTTCATTGGATTCTTGTGGCTACTAGACACGTCTCAAATTATTAACACTTGAAAACTGTTGACCTCTAGGTTAGGACCTGGATTAGAACTCACCCTGGGGGGGGTGGGGGGGCACCCTTTAGATTCAGAGTGGTGGCTATGCGGGCACGTTACTTAGCACCATTTGTTTTTTTAAAAAAACCCATGCCTCCTTGTGTGGGATGTACGTGTGGTCACTGTAGCCCTGTTTGCATGTTAGTCAAGGCAGGTACGACCTGCACATACATGTATACATGTGTTTGTGAGAAAGAGCCAAGGTGTTCACTTTACAAATGACACGGGGGACCAGTACCTGGATAAGTGGTGGGGCTTGAGTCACATGTTCAGCCGTGCATGTAGGGTTGCCAAGTCGGGCGTTGCGCCGCAGCGGGGGACTCCCGGCTGTTGTCTGGAGTGCGCGCGCCGCACACACGTCACCCGGAAGTGACGCGACGACGCCAGGCACGCTGGGGGCGAGGCCACTTCCAAGGGAAAACCATAGAGTTTTCTCTCGGATGACCGTAGCCCCGCCCCCAGCGTGCCCGGCGTCATCGCATCACTTCCGAGTGACGCGCACGTCGGGGTGGTGCTCCCCCCGGGGCCCGATCCGCCGGCAGCGGGGAATGGGCCTCTGGGGCGGGGATTTTCCCGCCCCCCAGGGGGACTTGGCAAGCCTATGTGCATGCGTTGAATGTAACATGAGACATGCACATAAACAGGAGACTGCACACATAAAGAGATAGCAAGTGTACATGGATTGTGTGTGCATTCCCTTGTAACTTGTTATCAGGGCTTTGATCTGCACAAATGTGGCAGTTTATTCACGAGGGCCGCCAAGCTTGAACTTCCCCTTTGAGGGACCAAGAATTTGACTCTGTTCTCATTAGAGGCAGTTTGGTGTAGTGGTTAAGTGCGTGCACTCTAATCTGGGAGAACCGGGTTTGATTCCCCACTCCTCCACTCGCACCTGGCTGGACGCTCTGAGACACCTTTGGGTAGTGAAGGGCGGGGTATAAATCCAATCTCTTCTTCTTCTTCATTATCAGAGGGGTTTGGAGTTTCCTCAGAACGAAACATCAGCTGTGTTTTCCCATCCTAGGTCCTGTGATTCTGAGGACTATGAGGTGCAACGTGTTACTACGTAGAAACCAATTTTAAAGAGGACCTAATTACCCTCCCCCCCGGTAGAGTCCCTAGCTCTTAAAACTGAACCCCCTTATGGGCCTGGATCAATGTAACAGTGGTATTAAAAATAATGGAGAGATTTGGAAGTTAGGGTGGCGAAGGGTGGGACCTTTTCCACCTGATTTCCCCCCCTCCGCATACCTGTAGGGATTATCTTTAAATGAAACATCCAGCCGTCTTTTAATGTCAAGGCCATTCCCTGTTTTATTCCCCCCCCCCCACTTCCCTTCCCACCTTATGTAAAAACTGTATATAATGGTGGGTTTTTAATATTTGATAGTTGGCTCTTGCTTTTCAAGTAATTCCATAAATGCATAAGTGTCCTGGATGTATTTTTCCTTTATAATTCCTCAACGTAGGGTTGCCAAGTGGAAATTTCTTCTTACCGGGGGACTCCTGGTCCATGGCTGGAGTGCGCGCGCACCGCACACACGTCACCCGGAAGTGACGTGACGACGCTGGGCGTGCTGAGGGCGGGGCCACAACCATCCAAGGAAAAACCATAGAGTTTTCCCTCGGATGACCGTGGCCCCGCCCCCAGCGTGCCCGGCATGGTCGTCACTTCCGGGTGACGCGCACGTCAAGGTGGGGTTCCCCCCGGGGCCCGATCTGCTGGCAGTGGGGGACGGGCCTCTGGGGCGGGGGTTTCCCTGCCCCCCGGGGGGACTTGGGAAGCCTATGTCAACGGTTCAAGGAACTGAGATTAGGAGTGGACACCTGCTTCCATCTTGCTGATGTAGAAACATCCCAGAATTCCTGTCTCCTCCACCGCCGGTCCCCTTCCCACCCACCCAGCAAACCAACCCACCACTTCACGGATCCTTCTGAGGCTTCCAGATGATCTTGTTTCTCTGTCGTCCTTGATGCAACCCACGTGAGCTTTTTGCTGTACATCGGAATGGGAGTTCTTTCATCTTCACATTTACTGTCTCATTTCTTGTGTGCCTTAACAAGATGGCTGTGCTGACTGTATCTCAAATAAGTCTTTATTCCTATGCAGGTTTTGTAAGGAGTTCCATCGCCCTTAAAAACAAAAACGTTGAACCTGGCAGCTTGTGCTTTTCTTCTTCTTCTTTGCTTTTTAAAAAAATATTTGAATCAAGCCAGCTAAATATTCCGAAGTTCAGTTCTCCGACTGTTAATGCGCAGCTCATCACCTTGTTCCAGAATCTGGCCCTGCTGTCCAGAGGTCTCCTGTGGAAGAACTTTGCATCACGAAAACAAAAAAAAACAAACGGATTTCTTTTTTTAAAAAACGACGGCGGCGGCGGCACTAATAATGTAATTCTGTCAGGCGTTTTGGAAAACATTTCCACCTTGATCCTGCAGACAAGCATTGTTGCAGTGGCATCCGGGATGGCTTGTGCTGGTGTAACGGCAGAGGCCTCCTTTCCTTTGGCCAGTGGGTGAGCCAGTGTTTCTCCACTGCCTGATGTTTGTGACCCTTTCATACCAAATATTAGCTTTTGCACCCAGGTAAGCTGGGTCCATGGTGGACAAAAAAACACCCTTTTAGGGTAGTGTTATCAGTGGCGCCAGGGGAACGATTAATGTCTAGCAGTTCTTCTGCACCAGGCAACAGGAATTTGCACAATAAATCTGGTACCGGTGGCCATTGCAACACACCTAGGCCAGAATCCAAAGAATCGTGTCCACCTGGCCCCAGGTGCCTGGCGGGGTTCTGGGCTTAGTTCTCGAATGGTAGCCCCTTGTTGCACAGTAAGCCACTTTTGAAACGGAGAAGAAGCAATAGTCATCGGCAGTGTTCCCTCTAATTTTAGTGTGAGCTAGCTCTCAGTTTTTTAGCCTCTGGCTGGCAGATTTTTTGTCTGAGCTCAGGAAGGATGGCTCCAGAGCAAACTGATTTATGCAGCAGCTCAGTGGCTCGCTCACCACTTTGATGCCAGCAGCTCACAAACTAGAATTTTTGCTCACAAGACTCCACAGCTCAGGGGGAACATTGGTCATAGGAGGGGGGGCAGCCGTTTGGAGAAACGGAAAGGTCCTCCTGGGGCGGGCACACGTGGTCCCTTGGCATACCTCAAGTAGCTCTTTAGCTGCCAGCCCTGGGGAGGGAGGGGGGTCCCCTGCTTCTGAACTGAGTGATCAGGGAGCACGTGGTATACAGCCTCTGGGCCAGTACCACCTTAGGGAAGGGGAGCCCTTGCTTAAAAGTGCTCCTGTGTGACATTCCTCTAGGATGTGAGGAAGAAGAGAAGCTTCGTCATGGTGCGGTGACTTCCCACGTGCAGGGAATTTATTGGCCAGGGAGCGTGTTCAAA